TGCCTAGCAGTTGTCTACGTGAAGCTTACTTGGGCATTCACAATATCAGAGCAGTGAACAAGCCTATGTTAAGGAAACAGGTATGACTTTCAGGCTCTTTGGGCCTGAGGGTCACCAAGAGGAAATCTGCAATTGTGTTGTACTGGAAAGGAAGAAAGATGGCATGTGATTGCACAATACTGTCACCAGACATGGTAAGCATAGAGTCATGTGCAATACACGGCCATGTTAGGGAATATGCTCTGGCTTGAAGTTTCTTGGCTCAACAAGGTTGAAGCTTGTGCAGAGGCTCAGCATAAACACCACAGGCTGGGAGCTCATTCAGTATAATGAAAAGGTGGCTGTCAGGTCTTGAAGGAACGACATTTCTGTTTGTTAATGACCTGAGTAGCAGTTTGCCTTTTCACTTGCTTGTTACTAGTCTAACTCATCTGTTTTTAAGGCCATCTGAGTGCTGAGTTGTATCTGAAATCAGTGCTGGGAATAGGGTGAGGACAGTATTAAATCTGAGCCAGAGCAGGAGGTTATTTTACTCTCCTTACTGGAATTATACAGATATGTGGTTGTGTGTGTATTTCTAACTAGCCCATTTATTGTTTGTTTCGAAGAGCATATTCCAGTTAATTGCTATTAAAATATATTGTCACATATTTACAACTATTGTGCATTCCTCTAATTTTCCACCTTGATGAAGGCTGAAAGAAGATAAAATTTTGAACTCTCTCAAGGGATGAGACATAAAGAGAGTGGGATTTGCACATGTGTGTTTTGTACCAGGAGGGATTAAATCTTGCTGTTCTTGAAGGAAACACTTTTTAGCGTGACAATGAAAAACTCAACATATTTTAGCAAAAAAACAGTCACCCGAAGATCAAAGACATTATGTGAAGTGCAGAGATGAAAAGGGGAGAGAGAGACTTGTACTGCTTTTGTAATGGAAAGTGTTTTTGCAGGGAGATGGTATTTGCAGGGGACATACTTTGCTGTGATTTTGATTCAAGTAATGTGGCAATGGTAGTAAATGTTGTAGGTAAGGTACTTTATCTGTCTTTTCTTAGCCTTTCTTAGCATGTCCTCAGGAAGATCACAGAGTTCATCAGAAAATCCATGATCTAAAGGTTCAGTCTCAGAATCAAAATAGATAGGGACCTTGAGAAGACCTTTGTATGTGAGGCTGTGGAAAATTTGAGGTCCTGAGCAAGAATTATCTTCAGTAGTTCCTGAGAAGTATGTAAAAAACCAAAACGAAAACAAAATAAAACATAACACAAAAACCCCACAAAAACCCTCAAACAAACAAGGTCAAAGATATTCGTAATATTCTTCTATAGGTCCCTCTTCTGAGTTTGGTGGTGGAAAACTCCTGATAATTCACTTCAGATTCTTTCACTATTATTTCAGTTGTGTAAAGGTTGAAAAGATGCTGAGGGTCTTTTGAGATAGAAGCATCAAAATGATAATTTTTGTGGTGTACCCTTTCACAGTGTAAGAGTATTCCAGTAATTTGCATACATGGGTGGATGTCAGGGGAATAAAACTGGTCAAACAGTTTCAGACATCTACTTGTATTTCCTAAAAAACCTCCTTTATATTTCGCTTCTTTAAAATTTATCGATTACTTCAGGTTGAATTACATGAAAAACACACCTGGAAATAATTTGGAGAGGAAAAAAAAAGAGATATATAAAAAAAAAAATTCCATCATACTTTGAAAACCAAAATTTTTATATTTAAAGTAAAACCAATTAACTTTTTTTGGAGGTTGAATGAAACACTACTTTTGTTTTGAAACAGTTTTCTTATGGACAATTTTCCTCTTTTTGGAAGAATGAAACTTTTTCTGGTCTGACACCAAATTATTAAAAAAATGTAACAAGTATAAAAGAGGATGCAATCAAAGAGTAAAAAAAATAATTGCTTTGCATACCAGGGGAAGGTCACACAGAGATGTTTTCACATTTGACTCTGAAGGCAGGCCCCAGAGTGAAGCTGTGTTGAGTGTTATGTTTTGGCTCAGGATGTTTTCACTCGTGAACAATTATAATTTTTTTTAATTTTTTTTTTAAAAAAGCATCTATATGTGCATGCTCCAAAAAATGGTTTGTAGAAAACACTTCAAATAATTGGTACCTTCATCTACAAGCAAAACAATTTTTGAATCTTCTGAGAGGCAAGAACGCTCTGAGAAACACTGATTTTATACTCTCTTTTTGTGGAAATAGGAAGCATTTTTAGAGAGACTAATGAGGTTATTGCCCATTAGTTTTCAGAGGCTGACAGATAAAAAATAATTTTGGGGAAGATAGTGAACAGCAGTGAATACCTGACTTCTTCAAGCAGACCTTCTAGCTGATGACTGATTTTCTTCAACTGACATAGCTTTGCTAACTAAAGGTCATACTGTTGACCTGACCCCCATTTTCGAAGTGCCTTCCTCATTCTTGAAAAAGATATTTGGCTTGCAAGTCATCTGTATGGCATGAAGTGTCTGAACCTCGGTCCTTGAGAGGAGATGCTGTACTCTAATAGACCCCAGATATCCTCCCAAGATGTCCATCCATTGAACAACAGAAAAGCACCCTGTAGATGGAGAAAGTTTTTAGCATCAGGGAACTTCTGTTGACTGCTGTGTGATCTCCTGTGCACTCTGAGGAGGGTAAGAGGGGAGGAAGCACAGAAATAGCTTTGGGTCGTTGTTGTTATCCTCCTCAGCTTTCCTCATGAAGAATAGAGCTTGAGCTTTGGGACATGAGAGATGGTGCTGAGAACCATATAGGAAGGGAAGGAGTGGGGGGTTTGGCTGGGACATTTGGAGTGAGGATGGAGTGAGTGGGTGCACAGAGTGGGTACACAGAGTCTAGAGCTGGGGGAAGGGAAGGAGTGTACCTTAGTCAGGAGCAGTGGAGAGAAGTATCTGCCTGACTGGGTAAGAAACTATGAAGGTGCAAATAAATAATATGTCAAAGCGTGTCTGCTTTGGGGTGGTTGAGTGGGGAAAAAAACCTTTCGGATTCTCAGTTCTAGCACATGAGATGTCAGCCTAACAGTCATCTCTTTATATTTTAAATCCCTGATGGTGACTGTACTCCATAAAGTAAATGCTGCTGCCTGGTGCAACCTGAGTTCCTGCAGACACCGTCATCTGCCCTCTGTGCACAGAAACCCAGCACGCTGCTTCGAACTTGCTCTCTGTAGTGTACCATTCCTCCTTTGATCCTTGTCTCCCAACTGGGGGGAACCACATCAGTCCTGCAACTCATGGGCCCTCTAGCAAAGGAACTGTGGCAGGATTTAGCTGCACACGTAGGCCGAGATGAAAACACTGCTTGGGAGAAAACGACAGATTTACTGTTCTGTGTTCTTCAAGGGGTACACGGTGGTAAGAGTAAACAAACACAAGATTTGAAAAAATGTCTTGTTGCAACTTGCTTTTTATATGTATCGTCTAATTGCGCATTTAAAAACAAAAAGCAGTGGCAGTTGTAAAGTCACTATCAGATTTGCAAAATTAACATTTCCTTTGAACCACCACAAAACAACCCCAACCAACCAAACATGAAGAAAGTCACAACAGCAGCAACAAAATTTTAAGTCCCTCAATCCAGGAACAAATCAGAAAGAAAAACACCCACAGGAAAAGTAAACTAATAAAATAACCTTCACAAAACCCCTGCCCTCAGCGGTGTTTTAATCCAAAAAAGGGGGGCAGAAAAAACCCACGGATCCCCTTAAGTCATGAGAGGCTTTGCTGTTGCCAGTGATTTTATGGGGAGGGTGCTTAGACACTGCACTGGCCGGCAGGAATATAAAGCCACAGGACAGATCTACATCTGCAAACAGAGCTCTTCAAATAATTTACAAATGCACCTTGGCTTTGTTTCCCTTTTAAGTGCAAGCAGCTCACAAGCTACCTTTAAATTTTAGCCTGCATCTGCATGCTGGCTTTCTCTGCAGCGTAAATGGTCGGTCTCATACTAACGGGCTGAAAAACGTTTTCTGGGGTGGACGTGGGGGGGGTGGAAATCCTCAGAGTGCAGCGCTTAGGCTAGGATTCCAGAGGAAGCTGAGGCCTCCAGCCCTGCACAGGAAGCAATCTTAGAGCAGGCCTTAAATGCCAGATTCCAGGCAGAGTTTAACTAACCACTGACAGCTCTGTAAACAAAGCAGGGACAAAAAGAGAACAGCTTTCCCTTTTCTGGTAGTCATTTTTGGTTTGGGGGCTGCAGGGGAATTCTGTAATACTCGGCTTGATGGGATTTAAACCAAGGCTGGAAAGGCTTTGTATATGAAGAACTGTAAAGGGGAAAATATTTCATGGACTAAATCATAAAGGAGAAGGTAGGGTACAGGGGAAACACATGGATTAAGCTGCAAAAAAAATATTGCTACTTTTGGTTCTTTGAGCAGGGTTTATACATAGCTTGGCTCCTTCTGGGTGGTATTTAAAAGCTGTGGCTTATTTTTCTTATTTTCTCTTTTCTTTTTCTCTCCTTTTCTCTTCTTTTTCCCTTTTTTGAAAGAGAGGAGGGGACAGACAGACGGGGACTAACTTTTGCAAAACTTTTAATGATCTGTGCTACTAAAGAAAATAAGAAATATATTGTGCAGCGTTTTTACAGCTTCCAGTAAAAATTGGAAGCTTAA